ATCCGTCGGTGAGTCCTTGGAAGTATTCTTTGTGCAAAATCTTTTTTACTGTTAGTGTTTGTCTTTCAATACTAAATACAAGCGTAATCCAAAAAATTGTTTAGCTTCTACATACATATCTAATTTGAATAAAAGATAATAAATTATGCTTAGTTAATTGAAATGGCTCTTTTATTTTTCAAATAGGGATATTTCAAAAGTAATTTTTAATATTATGTACCCTACAAGAAAAGGACTTTTTTCTGGCCTCTTCACTAACACACTAAAATATACACCAATACACAGAAAAACATTGTAAAAATAACCTTAGGTAATAAAATAAGTAGAAAATAGACCTTTTAGCACTGCTGGTAAAATCCCCATGTGAATAACGGACACATAGTCACATGTACACAAAAGAACTGGTCAGGTTTTTCATATTACCCCCGAATTTCTGATGAGGAAATTGCAGCATTAGCTTTGTTCCACACGCTTTCCGGGCTGCTCCGGTAATTCGAGCGTAAAAATAAGTTACTCTCTCACAAGTGTCAAAAATGTGTCAACACGTGCCAAAAGTGCCCAGAGCGTGAGGAACGCAAAAAACCACATTTCGTGCCTGGAATATAGAAATCGGCAATGATTTTACGTGTATGTATCTTATATGGCTAATAAAATGATCAAATAACTACATTTTCTGAAAATTCGACGGTATTTTCCACTTTTGTGTTTTATAAAATTTGTTTCGGATTTAAACAACAACAGCTGTTATTTCAAATTGCCCTTTTGCATATTTGTGCCCGGAAAAAAGTCCGGGCTGTTTCGTGCACATAGAAGAAGACATTCACGATCCAAAAGTGGAACGTATTCGCTCTATATTACCCATTTTTCTAGCGTGAGGAACGCTTTCTGGGCTGTTTTGGTCACCCGCGTGTACACGCGGGCTCGTGTGGGACAAACCTATTATTGCATCAGCACTGACCTTCAGGTGACCGGTCATTTGCCAGTAAGATTTCTTGCAGGGTATGTATATGTATTAAATAAACAACTTCAAATTATTACCCCTTTTGTAGTCAAAAAGGGTAATTCTTTTTAATATTTCTGGCCTTTACCTTTTAAAAAAAAATCTAAGGGGCGAACACTTCCAATAAGTTAGTGTCAAATCTTCCTTCTCGCTCTTGTTACTTCACCTGGTATTATTCCACCATGGTGAAAAACGCTCAGAAATTTACTTTTTTCTTTCTCCTTTGATTGCTTACAGCCAAGGCAAATTAATATAATAAGTAAGCCCTGAGGCGAAACGCATACATAAAATCAGCTGATCTAGTAACACCATCTTATATTAATTCGCCTTACTTACAGCTCAGCAAAGAGCAAACCGAACAGATGAAGCAGTCTGGATTTTTTTTGAAAATCACAATCATATTTGGGAAATGAGTTTGATGGGTTCAGCATTCGCAACTAAGTACCAATTTTTACTCATCACAAACCACAACTGTAAAGGCCAAATCACACGATTGGTGCATCAGTACAGATTTGTACATTTTAGCAGTCACAGAATGGTGTTGCCTAGAAATTTTTTATCGAGAATAATAATATTAAAAATTACAAACAACACCGCTGTGTAACTGTCAAAATTTACAAATTTGTGCAAATGCACCAATCGTGTGTTTTGGCCTTAAGGATTGCCGACTTTGGCAACGAAGGCTGAGACTCAATTTCCAGGGAAGAAGTAACCATTTCTCAAATACCTTCTAAGTAATAAACTCCGATTTTAATCCAAGTTAACACACAACCAACAGTTGTTTCTAACTCGCCTCAGTTTATGTATATTATCTGCATATGTTCCTTTAGATGTCGCTAATCGCCTACATGAATTTGACAAACCAATTAAAGCGAACAGTTGTTAAAACAATGTTAAAGCAACAGAAGTACCATTCTTTATCCAATCATACAGACATACATAGATATGTATGTACATTCAGATAAGCCAAATTCCTAATCACAAGACTTTTAAATAAGTCAGAGCAGGGTGGCGCTTGCTATTGGATATCCAAACACATTCATCAAAGTCGTATGTATTAGCTAACATAGCTGCACTTGTGTAGATTTTTGATACTTCTCCAATTGGCGTTGCTTTGGGCAAACTGAAACTGTTTTGCCTGCTCAAAAAATATTTTCATTAAATTAACACTGCCGGCTAAGCGATGGCAGGCGATGCGAAAGATGGCGAAACCAAGCGCCAGTAGCCAACATAACCATAACTGCGCGCTGAATTGTGGTCTGTTGTTTAATTTCAATTTGAAATTGTTTAATTTCAATTTGAAATTTGATTCCTAAATATGAAAACCAAATTTAAAACAATTTTAAGTTTGACTGCGCTTATTCCAGTGTAGATAAACTGAAATGAAATATTTTAAATAAGTTCGCTGTTTAAGAGGAGCTCAGGCATTATATAAACAACAAGGAGTTCATGAGCACTTTGAGCAGTTTTTCAGTGCTGGGTTAAATCTGCTTGTGGTTAAACTTAGTTTAAGCTGGTTTAAACTTGAGATAAGCCAATCAAATGTCAGCAATCTGTTAAATACGAATTAGATGTTCTAATTTTAAACTTGCACTGAAAAACTTACCCGAATAGTGTAATTCTCATTATTTGTCCTAATGTTTTTTTTTTTACTGTTCTTAAATAAGCACTATTAATAAAAATAAAAATTTATTATTAAGTAAGTATATTTTGTATTTGTAAATGTAAAAAAAAAAAAACATTTGAAAAGTCAAAAGGTTATTCAGTAAAAAAATTACTACCCAACAAGCAAAATAAACTTAAAGAAAGTTTTTTTTAAGTTTTCAATTATAAACATTAAGCTTACAAAACGTTGCTTTCTTGTTTATAAAACGCTTGAAAGTAAGCGTAATATAATCGAAAAGGAACATTGGTTATAAGCGTTGAAATATAAACTTGTAATAAATGTTCAAAAGAAGATTTTTATAAGCGTAAAAGTGTAAACTTATAATAAAGGTTCAAAAAAAGTTTTTTATAAGCGTATGAATATAAACTTACTAAACATTTTCAAAAGAAAGCTTTTCATAAACATTTTTATAACCCTTTATTTAAAGATATTTCATTCAAAACTCATACATAGATTGCTTAACATCTAGAAACTAAACGAAATGCGAATTTTCGGCGGACTCATCTACAGTCGCGAAAATATAAATAGGGAATAGACATTTTAGCATACAAATTCACAAAAACACATACAAATTAAGCATAAAAAAGTTAATTATTACATCTTGTTGCGTGCTTTCAATTACTTGCGGTTATTGGCAAATTGGAAAAGCGACATCGATGCAGCTATATATTCCGCTTCATCGCCGCCATTCTCATTGATGAACTTTTCTGAAAAAAATTTAATACATTTTTAATTGAATGTTAAACTAAGAAAGGATAAGGGGAACTTATCATTTGAAGACTCGAATGCTCCACTGATTAGCGCGGGTCCTGGATTGGACTTTTTTTTACCACATCGGTTTTATTTAATTTTTATATATAATATATTTTAAAAAACGTAAACACGTCTCTTACGATTGAAAAAATTTTATATTTACTACTTCATGTCGTTGGCATTTACATTTCATTTATAAGTTTAAGTTATTTATAAACATTCGCTCTCAAAACTTATTAAAGGTTTATTTGAAAAAACTTTTAATAAGCTTAATATTAAAAATGCTTATTTAACGCTTATTATAGCAAACTTAATTTAAGTTATTTTTAAAAACGTTTACTGAAATTCTTTTTGGGTACTGTTTGTAGTAGAGATGTAAAGATATTAGTAAACATCTGCGCTGACGTGACGTTACAAAAAACAGAAGTGCATTTCGACTTGGGCTGCAAAATTGCAAAACTCTGCGAATTGGGCAAGACTATTTGTATAAAACTTTTTATAAACATTTAAGGTTAATTTTCCAAATTTTTTAATATAGGCATCCTTTTTGCTTGTTGTTTAATCAGCTGAACTATCTGACGTGACTTTATCTGACCATACGTTACTAAAATTTCCATTGAAAATTTTGTTAATATTGGTTTTGAACGAAATTTTAACGCGCCTGGTATTGGGAAATGAAAATATTGTTTCGTAAAAAAAAACATATAAAACTGACCACTGACCATGGCTTTAAAATATTATGGACTGAATAATGAAAGATGTAACCAAGCTTGTGCACTAGGGTGGTCCGAAAATGCATGTGAAAAAGTAAAGTCGGAATTTTTACGCTCTTTTACGCCTTAGGATTGTTCTATACCGAAAAAAAGTATACCTTTATTTTTTATTTTGAAATCAAAAAATATGAAGAGGTATGAATGTTAATAAGCCACAATAACAAATTTCTTAAATCAATATTTTTTAAATTCGAATTTCCAAAAAAAATATGTCTTATTTTGACACGTTATTCGAATTTTGATAAAAATATTTTTTTCTTAAATAAAAATAACTAATGAATATGTATCACATTCTAAAAGTAAATGATACAAAAACAACTAAAAAAAATCACAAACTCCTTTTGAGTGGAATAGCTTATTGGGAACTATGTTGCCCATGGTCCTGAAAGGGGTCGAATATCACAGCTGCTTACAGACTAAACAGCTGTTAGCAGACTAAAAACGTAGATATTTCAAAAACACTTTACTCAATAAAAATCTTCTCAACGCTACTCAAAAAACGCCAATTAGGAACACCAATTAGTTATTAGTTGCAAGTCGCACAATACAAAGCTAGCGAAGCGAGTCGTTGAACATTTGTGCCACAGAAATAGTTGACATCGTTTTTTTACAGGTCAATTGATGAGCACAACAACAACAGGGAGCCACGAAGTGCTCAAAAGCGGAAAGAGTTTGCAATTAAGTCAGAGCTAATAATGAAGAGCGTAATTTTTAAGATGGATGATTTCTGCTAATTCAATGCTACGAGTCCTTCATTGCGATTTACTAATAAATTTTTCACTTTCCATTTCTGTGTCATCCATTGCAGCTACACAAAGAATTTATCATCGGACAAAATTAATTTGAGCACATTTCGTGGTGAGGGGGACCTAAAGAATTTGCAGTTGGACGAAGCAGTGCTCACTGAGCTGTTAGAGTTGCCCTCATGGTTGCGATTGACATCGGCCTGGTGCAATCATGTGTCTTTTCGTATTAGCTGGACTAAACTGAAAAGTGTGCCAATAACGTTGGTGAGTAAACCAGTCCATGCAAAAGAATAAAAAAAAGAAACACGATGATAATAGTTTTGTTGAGTTGCTGACTTTGCGATTCTAAATATTTTCTATTTTTATGACTCACACACACATACATACATTCGCACGTGAAAATAACTGTTATCACCTTGGCCGAGATAGACACTGGATGAGGTGAATATAAGCGTTGAAACCTGTGATCCGAGCACAAGAAATCAAGATGCAAATTCGCCGGGTGGCGGCGTTGGCAGTGGAGGAGGCAGGGCCGGCAGCGGCGGTGCAACGGCGCCGACACCACTGCCACAGGTGCCGCAGGGCAAATATAGTTTCATTCACAAGGTGGTAGATGGCATAACAATCATTGTGAATACGGTGAATGTGAAATTCTCGAGTGCAGCGTTCACGGCATCAGTGCAGGTAAGTGGGGCTCATCGGAGTTTGGCAATTAAGTGTAAGTACTATCGTAGGAAATGAAAACTAGAAAATTGTATAAACTGAAGGGCAATTACTAGGTTGCGGTAATTGTTTTATGACGTGCATATGCACGTTTCTCTATCGGGTGGGTTAGAGGGTTTTTACTAGTGCATATGTATGTATGTGCTTACGTATAAATCTTTGCATTGATTTTGAATTTTTTTACTACTGGAAAAGGAAATATTAAAAAAAAAAACTAAAACAACACCTAGACTTGTTATTTCTTTAACCTGGGCTGCAATCGGCACCCTAAATCGATGCGGTTCGGTTCAGTGGTTCGAACCACTTAAAAAAACCACCGAAAGTCGGTAGTACGAGCAAAAGATAGAGCATCCCCGAATTCTTAGGTCATATTTTTGCGTTTGCCAATAAAAAACATTTTCGTACTATTTGTTGTGGCGTATTTATATTTATATTTCAACAGTGCTATTGAACTTTGTACCACGATTTTTGTTTTTAAGAAACCACTAACCAGTGGTTAGTAACCACTGAGTGAAGGCTGGTTTTCACTATGTCATATTTTGACATCAAAATTTGTCGACATATTTTGACGGGAAAGAACAAGTCACTGTTTCATAACTCTCAAAGGCGCTTTAAGAATATCTCTGTAATGAATCGGCACAGGGCATTGCCCTTAGATCTGCCCGCCCTGCAAGCTAGCTTATTGTGATGCAAATGCACCTGTTTCAGAGGCTCTGACCTGATTTCATTGTCGATAATCTTCTCCGTCGCTTTCAGCACAAAATAAGTTGGCCTGAATTATTAAACACAGAGTAGTTACTTCCTCCGACTTTCGGAATGATGAGTACCTGAACTCCACCGATCTGAAGCGCGCGAGAAAAACTGTCGTTGTGCTCCCGTAGCGCAGGAGCTCCCCTCCCTTTTGTTGAATACCATCTAACCTAGAGGCTGTGGGCGATCGAAGGAATCTTATAAGCGCCGGGTAAACTAATTTTTTTTGTAAAATTTTTGTCTGTTGGCGATAGACTGAATTCTCGGGACTCTGGCTCCTATTTAATAGAAAAGTGAACGGAAAACAGGGCGTTCGTTGTGTCGTATAAGGCAACAAAAGTTCTTCTGTCTAAGGCTTTGTAAAGTCTTGCAGCTGCAATAGACGAGGAGATACGCTCACAGAGCAGGTTCTAACATTACTTACCTTGCACCTCCTGAACTCCTCACTGAACCTGGTGAGGTTAGCTGAATATCTATTCTAGCGCTTAAGTATGTGCGCTTACTTTTGTTGGAAATCCCGCTCACCTCCCTCTGCGCAATTAGAGTTTCCGAGGACACCAGCCAGTTTTGAACTTACACCTTTGTCTTTTATAATACAATCAAACTGATTAACTTTATGCTCTAAATCCATATAGTCAGGACTTCTGTTCTTGATTTCTGCTTTTAGGCAGGTTGATGTTAAGCTTATTGTTAAAGGTATGTAAATATTTCAGTTTGTATTACTGGGATACCTCTTGGGATGACTTTCCTTGACCTCTGCCCCTAGCAATATTCTACCTCTACATAGACAAAGAGGGTTCCGATGAAACCCACCATAGTGGGGTCAGGGAGCTGGACTGTCTATTGCCAAAAGTTATGTCAAGTAACTCTTGTATTAGCCCTGGTAAGACCAATGTTGGTCTGTGGCCAATAATATGGATATTAAGTCCTTTAACAACAATGCATTAAAGTAGTTACTCACATCTCTGGTTGGTATGACACACTATAAGTATACTGTGCGAATTCTTAACGCAGCTGATGACCAACGGGAATATAATCGTACGAAATTACTCCACCAGCTGCTGCCCCTAAGAGTGTGCCACGTTGGTTTTATTTCCTGGAAACTAGTCCGCATTAAAGACGATGTGCGTATCGGAACTCTGTAATGCATAAATAGTTCTTATCGTCTCCACTAAGCCACGATCTGGGCCTCGTAATCGAGATATTCCAAAATACCCAAAACAATGATTTAGTCCAGATCTTCTATGCTAATCTGGGCTAATGTCAAGGAGTTCATCTTCATTGATCGTTGAGGTTGAAGCATTGTAAATCGCCCTCGGTTCGCTTATCGAACTCAAGCTGCCTCGGATCCAGGACTTCTAGTAGCTCCTGCTTAGTTGGTACATTAAAAAAGCTACCTTTTATGTTTCAAAACATATTTATGGCCGTTTTCTCAAGTACGTTTTAAAATTAACCTGCCCTTTAAACTCAAATTTTGTTCTGAAAAAATGTGTTTGAAGGACAGATAAATTTTATAACCTGCTTGCGAAAACGGCCCTTAATATACTTTTTCCGAAATGCCGAACTTTTCTTTCCGCTACAAATAATAATAAAAAAAATAACTAAGTATTAAATTTTAAACATCCACAGATGTCTCGCATTCGCGTCGAATCGAAAACACCCAAATGGGCAAACGCCGATCTACGATTTACCCGCCTCAAAGATCCTCAGAAAGGTATCATACTCATCTTCAAAGAGCTCTCCTGGCAAACCGTGCGCATTGAGGCCAGTTCCACACAAGACAAATCGCTCACTCCATTACGCTTGCTAACCAATCAGGCGCGCTGTCGGATCACATTACGAAAACGTCTTTCCGATTGTACGCTTTTAGCCTCGAGACTGGTGCTTATACTTGACGATCTCCTTTGGGTGCTCACCGATTCACAGCTGAAGGCGGCCTTACATTTTGTCGATTCCTTATCGGGTCTAATCAAAGCGGCGACACATGCAACACAAAAAAAGAATGCAGCTAGAAAACTACAGGTTATTTTTTAATTTAATTGTTGTTCTAATTAATTTATTCGAACACAAAAATAAATTGCTTTTGACTTTGTATTAATCATTTTCTTTTTTTTTTGTTATGCCTCACAGACTCTGCCCGAGTATCAGGCATTAATTGCGCAACAACAAAATCGTCAATCTGATACAGCACATACAACAACAGCGCAGAAAATGTTTAATGCTTTCGATGTGCGCGAGACTTCCTATCACTTTTTTAGTCAGCGCATCGATTTGCATTTGTGTGACGACGAAGGAGGTGAGCGCAAGCAGCAAGCATTTAAATTCGTAATAGATTATTTACCCTAAAATGTATTACTTCTATTTAACTAGACGGCCGTTCAAGTTTTCCTGAGTTGGATAAAGGCGGCGCATTACAAATATCTGTACAAGCATTCCAAGTAGACTATTATCCTTATCATCTGGCCAAGTCGGATCGTGCGCACTGGGCGAAGTGAGTAGTATCTAATGTTAAATAGTCGACGTTATTCAAAGTTATTGCAACTCGTATCTTCCAACATTGTGCAGATATCGTGAGGCATCCGTATCGCCGGCGCTGTGGCTTAAAGAATCGCTCAATACATTCCGTGAAGCTGTACTCAATCTAAGCCAGCCAAATCGCCCCTCCACTCATGCACCGCTCGAACGTACTGCACCACCTTCACCCATCGCTCTAAATGTAAATGCGCTGCAGGCACAAAGTTTGGCGCATGCTGCGGCCGTGACAGCTGGTGGCACGCCGCCTGCTGTTACGTCGGGCACAACTACGCCTAATCGCCATGGCAGTAGCGGCGGTGGTTCCGGTAATGCCTCTGCTCTCTCTAGCCAGGTGACGCAAGCGCAACAACAAAAGGCGACTTTGGATAATTTAGCGAAATTAATGAGCGCCTGTGTTGTATTGCGTATCGAGGATTTTACATTGTATCGCGTCACTACATCGGGTAGGAAACAGATGCCTAAGGAGTTTGTGTCGGGTGAGTAGTGAGTTGTGCTGGTGGATAGTGAGTGACTACTTTAGTACTCATCTAATGCTATCACGCTAGCAACATAATTATTTGAATTACATCCTTGTATAAAATACAATTGATTTATTTAAACATTTGATTTTCTCGTTATTCTTCCTCTACATGCCAAAAAAATGCATAACTGTACAAAATTCGGCGCACATATCATATAAATTTCATTAAATTACGCACCTTTAGCACAAAATAAAAGGAAAACACGTTCAGGTACTAAAAGTGTATATATTCGGCGTTTTTTACTAAAAAGAAAATAAAAATCGTTGATGTTGTTTTGGTATTTTTATGTTATAAATGCCGTTTTTAGTTTAAATGTGTGTTTGTTAATAAGGCTATTGCATGTTATTGTACATAAAAGTTCTTCGGCTACTTGTATGGGGTCGACTGCTGGAGGTCGACGTTGGCGCCAATGCCTTCAAAAGGACTCGCTATTCGTTGATAGGGCCGGTAAGAGAACATCCATTACGTGATGGTTTCCACTTAAATTATTGTTGTTGTTGATGTAGCAGCATACAAGTTCCCCAAAGAGTTTTTGGTTAGTGTTGCTGGAGTGACAGTCCTTGGCCAAATATAAATCTGGGTCGTTCCGGTTACGTAGACCCGACTGTCGTGGGAACGCACTTAAAGTATTCTTCGAGGTCGGTTGACGATTTACGAAGGTTATCTGCGTTAGCCTAAATCATAATTATTAAAAAGCATTACAAATATCTATCTATATATTGACATCGAAGACATAGGCAGGGTTTCTTCACTTAGACCTTTTCTTGTGGTCGAGGGCGCCCTTGCTTTCTTTGTGAGAGGACCTTCATCCGCGCGGACAAGATGCCAAAGCGAATCCCCTAAGTAGCTGTTGACGTGGGAAGTGCTAGTGGTTTTTAAAAGGCAGTCAAACTCAAAATTTCATGTAAAGTGACTTTCGAAAGCAGTTTTAATTTCCAAAAATCGAACTTTCTGATTCTGATTTTTGCCAGTTTAAACGGTCGAAGTAGAAAATTCCACTTTCAACTGTGTTGCTAGACATTTTTATGCATATAAAAAAGTTAATGACTTTCTACAAAATGACTAATGCAATAATATATATGTAAATATTTCGTTATGTCAGGAGAATAAATTAACCCCAAGTATTTCTTTTCAACATTTTTATAATATATACACAAATTCGCTAGAAATCTTTGACGGCATCACAGCAAATATGAAGACTGCAATTTCCCCAAGAGCAAGTTGAAATTATTTCTCGAAAGCGAATTGCGCTCTTTCATTGCAGGTACACATTGAGGGCTCTCACTGCATGTGTCGTAGTAAGATTTTTCGAGAAATCTACGAAAATGCGATCAATGAATCCGAATTGCTACGAACGTATGCATTCAAAGTATACTTGGATTCAGCGATAGCCCAGTGTAATTTTTATTTCCGAAAGTGATTTCTACAAATCTGCAGAAGGACTTTTTAGGTGTTTATACGGAAAAGTTGACTTTCGCCTTCGCATTTTGACAGCAAAATGCGTAGAAAAAACGCTTGCATTGCCACTTACATATAACCGCTTTTTGACTTTAATACTTCGATATCAATACGATAACCATATCGATATCAAGACGATAGTCACATCGACATCAGTACGATAAATATATCTATAACATGATACTATCGATAAAACGTGATAACAATATCGATAAATCTCTAACTAACAATATCGATATACCTATCGATAACAATAACAATAAATCCATCGATAAAAATACCGAAAAATCTATCGCTTACAATATCGATAAATCTATCGATAAGAATAACGATAAATGAGTCAATGATAATATCGAAAAATATATCGATAACAATGTTATTAATATACATTTAACAATACAAATAAATACAGATACATACATAGTTAAAGCTTGAAAAAGCTGCGTTCACGTCCTGGTACTGAGCCCGACGATGCCAGTCTCATCTGTTTCTGTTATGTGCATGCGCATATGCCACCCAGACTGTATCCAGTGGTAACTCTGCACTTTTATATGAGTTCTTCATCTATAATTATGTAATAAAATGTCTTCGAAATATCATACTGGCTGTTGTAGGGATCCAATTCCCTTCTAAACATTGAGAACTTCTCAACTTTTGCTTTCTTCTCCTGGTTGCCTTCTTCTTTCTTTGGAGTTTCTCATGTTGAAGATACAATGCTTTATACATTCAGCAATAGTATTTTTGGCATTGTTTCGCCTAATAAGTATCTTCTTTCTTCAGAAAATTCCCCCAAACCAAGGCACATTGGGTCAGAGAAAAAACAGCAGGCTGCGTGTATTTCGTAGTTGATTTTGGAAGCCATATGAGCCGTTTATTTTAAAAGTACTATAAGTCACCTTTTCAAAAAAAAAAAAAAAAAATCGTGTTAATGAACACTAATTACAATTTAACGGTATCTGCTCATTAAAAAAAGAAATTCCACTGAAATGTTGAGAACTACTGAGGTTTTATTCGAGAGAAGTCTTACTAATCAGCGGTATAACGAATTTGTTTTTTGTGAAAGTCACTTAAAAAAATCAAAAGTCCATTTTACACTAAAAAAATATACTCACAAAACTAGGAGGCAAAGGGCTTGAAATTTCAAAGATATGATTAGTTCCAAAACTTTTAAAAAATGAAAGAAAACATTATGTAGAATTGAAAAATTTGAAGTTTTTGGTGCACAAGGACGAATACGTACTGAAAATGCATTTTAAAAATTTTGTCCTTGGGCATCCTGGCGAATTTGCAGTATTTATTTTGGAAAAAAATTATAGGATAAGGATTAATATAGACATGACCACATTTTCGAATTTCGTCCATCTACTTAATATAGCTTAAAAAAATCAAAATAAATAAAAGGTAATTTTATACCAATTCATCATTGTAAACCAAAAAAAAATTAATATATTAATAGTTTCGTTAGTATATTTTGTTTTGTGTATTTTTAAATTTTTTTGTTTTATTATTATACATGTATGTTTGTAACTTATTCATCAATTTTAGTTAATCACTGTTATTTCAAAACATCACTTAGGTAAAATACATCGGATAAAATTGATATAAGTCGGTAAATAATTTTTCTAAAGAATTTATTTCGAAATTAGCATAAGTCACTTTCCCGTAATGAAAGGTGGTAATTTTTCCATGACTATACGAAATTATTTACAGACATATACTGAGAAAAATATAGGTATCCTAAGATAACAAATACAAGTAAATCCTTTCGAAAGTTTGCATCAATGCTTTTAAGCGTGTTGAAACGAAATCCCTTACATATGTCGATTTAAAAACAAAGTGAATTATGCCAATTTCGAAATAAACGGCTCAAATAATTATGTAAACAAATTTGGACATTTTTGATTAAAATATAAACAATAGTGATGATTTAGGGACGAAATTTACGAAAAAAGTCAAATCAGCTGCTCTATTGCTGCCTTGCTTCACACAGAATATTTACGAACTAAAATGCGTAGAAACATGAAAAACTTCTGAAAAGCTACTAGTGAAATTCCGATCACTTAAAACTGGTTCATAGGCATAGTCATTTGTATTAGATGTTAAAGCGTCGAAACACCGAGCACCGGAATCGGGGAAAAATACAGGCCATTAAAAGAAGTATAGAACACTTGGCGTTCCATATAAAATAAATAAATGACCAGGACAAGACTAAGAGGACTGTCCCGTATAATACAGGACAGATGGTCACCCTAGGTATAACTATAGAGTTCAGTTACTTGGTCCTTGTTGTTGTTATTCTTGCTTACGTACCAGTAGAAAACATTCCTCATAAGAAGTATCTAATAAAAGACCTTGGTGGCTCAAACATACATATGTACATATGTATCTGATACCGAAATTTTTTTCACTATGGCCATTCTTGAAGCTATGATATTTTGCTTCATGTTATACCACATATGCATGCGACATTTAACTAAGATTTGTATGAAGTCATTTTTGTTTGTTATATTCAGCTGTTATTTCAATTTAATATACAAGTAAATTCGTGTACAACTAGTACTTACAACTTTTTATTTTCCAGGTGACAAGGAGCGTTATTCCTTTCCCTCTGATATGTCCATTGTACATGCCGAGTTTACTTACTTTTATTATCCTGGTGATTTTATATTTCCTTGTAAGTATTATATTTAACTTTTCACTAGCAAAACGTCTGCAATTTATTCATAATTCTTTTCTTCCTTTTCCACCTTTAGTGCCACCGTCCAAAGTATTTGTTCACATAAATCCTTTACAAGTGCACTTCGATTTGAGTTCCGTACTGTGGCTCAATTCATTTGCGCTTAATTTACATGAGAGTTTATTGCGTACCAGCGTTGGTACGGCAAGTGGTGCTTCTTCCACGGCGCGCGGTTCGATCTCCTCTAGTGGCTCACAACGTGGTGCACAGAGTGTGCAGGGTTCGCAGGGTTCACGCAACTCACAATCGGCCATATCTCAGGTGCAACAACAAGAAGAGCCCAATCTAATGTATATGGATGTGAAAATTGAAGCAATTATGCCGCGTGTCGTCATCGAATCAACCGTAGATGTGCCCAATCAAAAGGATCGCCCAAGAATTATGCAAATTCAAATTTCACGTTTTGCCATTACAAACATACGTGAAATGGGTTCGTCGCGCGCTGATTTAGCGCAAGCTTTACATTCACTACAAGAGGGTTCACTCGTCTTCGGCACGGAATTTCCATCGATGAGCGGTGATATGTGCATTGTCACTGATCGCATACTATCGCATGTGGCCGCTGCGGATGTGGGTGTTCCCGCAGTAGCAGGAACCTCGACGGCGGCGGCGGCCGCGGCGGCAACGACGACTTCCATGGCAGCAACACAATTTTCTTTGCAACAACAAGCGCAATCACAGTTGCCAGCACAGCTGTCGAAATCCGCTTCAACACAGAATTTGACACGTTACGCCATGTGGTCGGAGCCGCGCGATGTATGGTGTATCAAACTGGATCCGGTGTGGGTAGATTTCTTGGGTGCACGCTCTTTGGGAGCCAACAAATCTATACCATTTGTTGACGCCGTTCCCGTAACCCTTTGGCTGCATTCTGGTGTTGGTGCCATGTCAAAGTCGGCGGCGGCGGCAAGCATCGTAAACAATTCAAATACATCCAGCGTGAAAGGATTCTCCGTCGAAACGAATATCAATTGCATGGATTATGCGGATGGTCGAAATTTGCCACGCAATCCATTCCTAAGTGAGGAAGATGTACGCATTGGTATGGATTGGAAGCAGCAACGTTCATTTAATGGTGCCGGCGAAAGCGGCGACGGTGCAATTGGTGGTGGAAGGGCGAAAGAAACGGGCGCAAAGGCCGCAAACACCGAACGCACCGCCGATATGCACGCCATTGCGCACATATCCAATTTGGTGAGTGTGCAAATCGATCATTATCAGTACTTGTTCCTATTGCGGCTAGCCGAGGAGATGACAGAAATGGCGATGTTCCTGTCAATGGATGCCGAACGTATTTTACAAAAGGTGTGCGCTGAATTTTTATGGAATCGTGTTTTTAATTATTTAATTTTTTTTCGGAACTATTTTGCAGCAAAATACGAAGAAATCAATGATATTCGGTTGTGTTATACCGCAAATTGAAGTAACACTCGTGATGCCATCGCCAACACCTGGTAAGGAATCGAGTGGTGGTGATGCTGAAAGTGTCTTACCCGATTCAGCTAGTTTGGGTGATGATTTACACATGAATAGTAAGATTTATTTTTGTTTATTTCGTATCTTAAGTTTTAGTGACTAAATTTATAACAACAACTACAACAGAATCAGTGTTTATATAACACACTTTTTTCGGTCACTTAATTATTCTCTTATTCTTGCTTTGTTTGGTTTCGTAGATTAATTTTATTTAAAAAGTAGTATTTTTTTTCTTTTAAACTTTGTAGTTTAGAATGAGAAATTGCCCAGTTTAGAAAGTAATGCGAATAGAATTAACTACAATTTTAGATGGACTGCTAGCACTGCAACAATTTTTCGCAACTTGGACCAAATTCGTTTCTTTTAAATGCGGTGACATCCAGATACGCCCCACAAATTAGAAAAAGATAAAATGAAGCAAAGAACAGAAAGAAGTATAAACCTGGCGCGGTAATATTTCGATTGTATGTTGAATAAATCCTTGATATAAGCACTACGTTTGAATTTGTTGCCTTAAACAGCACTACATCAAAGGACAAACGACTGTATCTGCTTTACCTGAAGTGGTGGGGCTCATTTTTTTATTAATTTCAGTTACGTCAGTTTTCAGTGACTTCTCCTACGAGCACAGTGGTGGTCCCGAGCTCTTTACTTACGCTGCAATGCCTTCTTTCTATAAATCTTTCAGCTAAATCCTGGTGCTCGATCAAGTTACCTATTTCTAAAATCCTAAGCTAGTTAGTGATCTATAGGAGAGTATATTAAATTTGCAATGTCAAGATCATATGCGCTATCATACTCCTAACAGTAGGTCGCAGTTCTTAATATGACAGTTTTAAAGTTTAATGCTTCGAAAATTGAAAAAAATGGCAATATGATTTAAATTTTTGTTTGAATTATTCACTTAGTGTTTCACTTAAAAATGTATGTATGCATATCTATATATACATATTCTTTTTACATGAATGGCGGTTAAAGCCATTATATGCTTCTTTCATCTTCTCTCTTGATCCCTTGGCTGTCTCTTTTATTCTCGGTTTCTCAATTGTCGTCCTTTTATAACTGAATCTAAAATTCAGTGTCTTATAGACTCTTGACCAATAAAATCAGTATTTATTTCAATCAAATGTATGAACGTGTGTGTGCGTAGTGTACTAATTAATAATTTTCTAAGTGCTTACTTTTTTTTTTATTAACATTCGCATGTTTTGTTCTCACAACTAACACTAAACGAATAACTAACTTAACGTAGAAGCTTACAATTGAACTCAGCTACTACAAAATAACTAAAATAATTAACCATTACTTGCTAACTTTCAAGCAATCACTACTCTACTCTATTTCATATAAAATACTACTTATATTTTCCTGCAAATCGCATGCGACCTCAATACCGAGCTTTCTAATTTATCACGTCCTTTGATAGGTACAAACACTATATGGCCTACACCTCCATTGGAGGAAGTAAAACGGAATATATATGGCAGTGTGGAAACACCGTCCCCAGTCACCAATGAGCCACTCTTCGATGGTGGCATGCATATTTCCAATCCCAATACACATGGGTAAGTACAATTCAGTATTTACGAGTATTTTCTGTGAGATTGCTTGGAGAAGTTAAAGTTTACTATTACTTTACAGTTATAATGTGCAAATACAAAGTACACCAACAGTTGCGTCCTCCACACCCAGTCAGGGTTCACGTCCCGACACTGGTGTCTATTCACAGTCCATTACAGCATCGACGAAAAGTGTGCGTTCGACACGTACTTCCACAACAGGCGATGCGACTAGCATAACGAAAGAAATTAATTCTAGTATGGAAAATTTTGAAGAAAGAAGTTCTATAGCTCATAAGACTTACGATAAGTTTAAGCTTCTACTATTAACTTTTATTTTTCTCACTTTTCCTTTAGGTCTCATGTCTATGAAGAAAGGCTTCTCCAGTTTTATGACGTCCATAGATTCGGCGATTAAGTCAGGAGCGCCAAGTGATGACACCAGTGACACATTCTCTATACAAAGTGATATTAGTTCAGATTCGGAAAATTTCGCCATTGTTATGGGCGATGATAAGACTATGGATTGTATTGATGTGATGTTTAGGTATGAGTTTTTAAAAATCCACTATTTTCTCTACAATACTATTTATTGTCTTTTTACTTTAATTTCTACGTACATAGATTAAATCCCTTCACCAATGATACCAACTTGAAAGTATCACCCGTTGAGGTGGCTAGCGAAGTGCTGGAAGAGCCTAGTTATAATAAAACTAATCTATCATCGCCCTCCGAACCGTCAGAGGCAAGCACGTGGCGGCGTCGTGATTTAGTCTCAATGGCGACTTTTAGGTGCATATGTTTGTGTAGTGTTTGCATTGTAAAACAATTTTAAATTATGCTCTACTCTACATATTAGACTGACCACGGTTGAATTGATACGCCAAAATGAGGGCAACTCTTCATCGTTGCGCGTACAAGTGGCCGCAGTTTCTTGCGACGAGTGTGGCGCAATTCCTTGGGATGAACTGCAGGTAGGTTTTTTGTTATTAAATGGGTTGTTAGTTTTTTTCTTCTATAAAATATTTTACATTATAATATTAATACCTAATGGTACAATATATTTATACTCAACAAATTTCTTTACATGTATTGTTTATGGGTTAAATTCATTTTTGTTTTGTTTGAATTATTGGCTTTTGTGTTTAATTTTTTGTGTTCACTGTTTAATTGTTTTATGTTTATTTTTGGTTGTCTGTTTCAGTGTCTTTAAGTTAAACTTTCTGATATCCTTATTTTGTTTTTATTAGTATTGTTTTATTTATTTATTTTTGTTTTTAACCAAAGTTAATTGTAAATAACCAACATTTCTAAATTATTATTATTTTTTTTTTTTAATTCCGGTTTTTATTCAAGTCAAGTTTTTTCGAAATTATAATTTTTTAATTAATGTTATAAAATATGCAATTACTGTCTCGTTACAACTTTTTGCATGCCTATGAATTTCGATTTTCTCAATTTTTCTTCCTTCACAATCGAAATCATATTATCATCAAAAAAAGAAGAAATTTAAACGTATAAACGCTGATAGCTGGAGGTATTTGTATGGAAAACGAAAATGTATAGGAAGTCATTATTTTACAATTTTATGAACTTGAAAGAGTAGTAAAAGAATTTTTTGATTAGCGTGGCGTAATAACAGCCAGTTGAAATATTTCTATTGGGGGATGTGGTGATCCCCAAAATAGCGTCAATCATCAATTTACTGTAAAAACAACTTTTTAACAACTAGTTAGCTTAACATAAAATGGTTGCTGCCTAGAAGCCTAGCATTTACCAAAACAGCTGTCACCTTTCCTCCGCCCTATGTGCCTCGAAGAGCCAAGGCCAAGGGCGCTTCTGCTTTTAACTGAAGTGGTTGAACGCCGGTTTCATTCTTCTTATTTTTGGCTCTACAAGTTCAGCTGATTGTTGGATTTATTAACATCGATTTGTCTGTAGAGAATGAGGCTCCGCACCCAAAGCCTTGCATATTCATTTTGAAAAAAAAAGTAAAAAAAAAACAATTGTTTATGTATCTGCCAGCAATCCCAATTACTAATTTTAAGCCACAAGATGGCGAACGACGAAACCTTTCATTATAAGAACCTTGTATAAGTATCGTTATCTAAGTTTACGATTTCAAAAGCGAGAGCAACTCAATGACAACTAATCCCATTCCAAGTATACTTTTTCTCAAATGCTTTCCATACAATCCAAAGCTGTATATAATGCAATATCGTATATACCTTTTAAATGCTTACTTATCAACTTATCAACAAAAAAACATGCAAAAAAAAATCACATTGTAAAAAAATTATATTTTAAAAATTTGATTTTTGTTTTCTCTTTTCTCTCTCTTTTCAACAAAATTCTCGATGTGTGCTAAATTGTCAACATTTATATAAATATATACCAAACTACAAACATAACCAAACATTTTACACTCAAAACACTTAACACACATATTTGTGAAATACGAATTTTCGAATTCGTTAAATCAAAATTCAATTTGCACAAAAACCAAATTGCTACACAACAAATATTACGAAAACCTATACTTAAAAATACAATCTGCAACGTAAAAATACGATAATATTGCAAAAAAAAAAAAATACAAAACAAATAAAAAATCCAAATCTACTTACAATTGAAAACGAAAACCAAAAACAAAACAGAAAGCGCAACAAGCAAACAAGGTATATCAAAGAAATTATTAAAATTCTTCTAAATTTTAAGTAAAATTCTTTAATATTAAGCATTCAATTTATATTACTGGTATTTGTGTTTCAACTGTGTCTGCATTTAGTTGGGTTCTACGGTGATTTTAATTCTTTTTTTTGTTTGTTCCTTTCGAGTTGTTAAATTCAGTTGTATTTATTTAATGTTTCTTTTTTTCAATATTTAATATTTCGTTTTTGAAGTAGTTTTGTATTGAGCGGTTGCGCTACTTTGATGCTCTAAGTCTTGCTTGAAACCCCCACTTCCCCACCTTCACTTTTTAAGAATTTGGAAAAAAAACTTATATGAACTGTTTGAGATTATTGTTATTATGATTGATCGAAATTCGTTCGTTACTTTTTAGTAGTGCATCTAATCTGTTATTAATATAAATTAAATAAGACCCGCATTGATCTAATTCGAAAGCTAACCCAAGTTTATTTGAGACGACTTGAAATGACTTTAAATTTTTTTATTTATATCGATGGTCCTCTGGTCTGCTGGTCCTCGATGGTGATCTGCTGACATTTCCCGTAACTATAATCTGTCTCAACGGTAGCGTAACCACATTCAAATAACATGTTTAAGCCGGATGTGAGTTCGCAGACACAAGCTAACAGTATTCAATCAATAGTTGAAGGCAATGTGAATCTTTGTTTCATTACTGTTGAGATAGGCGGAATTATCGAACGCCATAATTTGTCGATTGTCCTCTTTAAACCTCCTATGGGCAGATGAGTCTGTCCAGACATTTTCTATTTTATAACGTCGAATAACATAGGGATATAGAGATTTGGTTTAACATGGAAGGGATAGGAAGGCATTGGAAGGGATAGGAAGGCATTGGAAGGGATAGGAAGGTATTGGAGGGGATAGCAAGGCATTGCAAGGGATTGGAAGGGGATAGGAAGGCACTGAAAGGGATAGGAAGCCATTGGAAGGGATAGGAAGGCATTGGAAGGCATTGGAAGGGATAGGAACGCATTGGAAGGGATACGAAGGCATAGGAACACATTGGAAGGCATAAGAAGGAATTACAAGGGATAGGAAGGCATTGGAAGGGATAGGAAGGTACGTATTGGAAGGGATAGGAAGGCATTGGATGGGATAGAAAGGCATTGGAAGGGATGAGAAGGCATTGGAAGGGATAGGAACACATTGGAAGGGATAGGAAGGCATTGGAAGGGATGGGAAGGCATTTGAAGGGATGAGAAGGCATTGGAAGGGACAGGAACCCATTGGAAGGGATAAGAAGGCTACATTTCAAATAGCATTGGATAATTCGTTAGCTGGCTCACACGAGGTATTTTTCCGATACACCGGTTGGAAATTGGAAGCATATACTAAGGGGGCGAATACCCATATTGTTAGCTTATTTAATCACACCATAATCCAATTAGAACCAGTCCAATTCACCTCTTTTTACCACTGATTGTAATTAGTTTGGAATTTTGCAACAATTTTTAATAATCAATTTTTATCTATTTGAGTATGTATGTAAATACTTTAAGCACACAAGACCTGCCTTTCTAAATATTCAAATAATGTCGCATTTTATCAGCCGCCTATAACTATCAAAAATGTAATACATATTTTTAAAGTAGCTGCTATTATAAACACAATTTGCAAATTCCTCTAACCTCTCCTTTGGCAAAAAAATATATCCGATTATAAACGATATGTATACATACCAAATTTTTAATGAAGTACTTATTGCATGCCTTTTTAAGGTTTATCTGAAGTTTTTCTTCAATACAGTTAAAAAAAAACATAATTAACCCTAGTAGCTTATTTGTTAGAAATATTCAAGTTACTTTAAAGTTTAAAGTTGAAATACAACTTTTCTAATAAAGTTTTTTTCTTGAATGGTGTTAATTATTTTTTGCTTTTATGGCCTTATTTTTGTTTGGTTATTATTATTATTTTTTTAATTCAAGTATCCTTAATTGGCATCTTATTCAATAATAATTTGTGAAAATAATGAAAGAAAATAAATAAATTAAAAAAGGAAATATAAATAGGAACACGAGATATCTATAAGACTTAAAATTCCAACAAAAAAAGTAAATAAATGTCAGCTTAGTGTAAAAAAAGCTGACTAGGTTTTAGCGAAACTCAATAAACGCGTGCAGAAAACTGCCTCAGACTACATGCTGCCTATTTTAACTGTTTTCGTTTTCATTTGACGATGCCACAAAGGCTCATAACTAAACTTTTCAATAGCGAAGCACAGGCATCAATACTTTTTCACAGTCTCATCCTCTTGAAGGCATGAATGGCATATGGGGTTGTCATGTGTGCCGATCACAGTCAAATGTATACACTGCTACTTTCAGCGTCTCGATGCCGCCAAGTTCGAAGGTGCGGACCGAGTAATACCTCGTCTAAGACTTCTCTAGATGGATGTCTCATTACCAGATTCTCTCGAGTGACCTGGCACCTAACGTAAAACTTGTTCGTTATATTTTCCGATGCAATTTAGCTGCATTTAATGCAATACATTGCCGAACTAATTAAGTTAGTCAGTACTAGTTAGTTAGAGTGTTGGCCAATTGCCTTGTGTGTAGCTTAGCTTTCACTACAGGCACGTATTCCACCAGGTTGAGTAGTAGAGAATGTCGTCGTATATTCTCCACCAGGACAGAAATAATCGGTAGAGAAGAGTTACAGAAACGAGCTACTGCTCAGGACTATTTAAGGAGAATTTCAGGACCATTTCAGGACCCGTTCAGGTTCGTTTTACGACTATTTGAGGATCATTTTGGTATTATTTCTGCACCACTTTGAGACTAGCTCAAGACTATTTGAGGAAACTTTTGGCACTATTTCGGTATCATTTTAGAACTTGTTTAGGGAAATTTGGAGAGTAATTTGGGACTATTTTAGAACCAATTAGGGACTAGTTCAGAATTATTTTAAGACTAATAAGATACCATTTCTGGACCGTTTCAAGACTTGTTAGAGATTTTTTCGGAACAAGTTCACGACTTTTTCGCCCGTTTCGTGGCCTATTCAGGACTATTTCAAGACCATTTCGGTACTATTTCAGGACCCTTTCGAATCATTTTGGGCATAGCAAGGAACCATTTGGAGAAAGTTTCAAGACTTGTTCGATATTTTTTCGGGACAAAGGCACGATTTTTTCAAAACCACTTTAGGACTACTGCAATACAATTTTCAGACTAGTGCGGATTCTTTTAGGGGTAGTTCGAAACAAGGCACGAAATGAACTTGAAAAAGTACTGAACTACTGGTCTCGATAAAATGAATAAAATGAAATGAAATTCATGTTTAATTTCTAACCAAAGCTATTTATATATGTAACTGAATCACCTAATGCTTTAACAAACCGTTTACACATCAAATTTCGTAAGTACCTAGTACCAACGCCTTTTTTAATTTGTTTTAAGTTTGGTAAGCAGATTAACTTCTATTGGAGGTGAGCTCCACCTAACCACAGATGCATAGCTGATAATGGGTCTAAATCCTGTTAGTGCTTTGGAGATCTTTTGCTCAACGCTCATTCTCAATACAGCTATCGGCAATCATATTCAGTGTTTTTTTTTTGTGTGTTTTATTGCAACCAACTGAGAGAGAGGCGCCTGTTAGATTGTATAGCCCCAAACAACTGTGCACGCGACTTATTGACCTCTTTCTGCCTGAATCCTAATGGTAAAAATGATGATGAAATATTGCTTTAGAACAATGTGAAAAAGTGACCCTTTCATGTTCCCATAGATGTCATCTTGCCAACTGAGACTTAACTTAATAACTTAAATCGACCTACGAAATTTTTTTGCGTATCAAAATCCTAACAGTTGAGCGCGTTTAGAACAGCTTACATGTAGATTTAAAATTAGGTTTCCAACACTTGAATACGAAATCGAAGAAATGCACACTTACTGTATTCCTAATTGGCTTATTTTAAAAATCACTACAACAAACATTTCACCACGAATATTAATGCCTAGTGAACATCAATTAACAACAATCAAACATACTCACAAATCTACAAAGCAGCTGCTACTACATACCTACCTACGTACACATATCCAAACTCATTGCAAAAATACATATATTTCATAGTAATATCATTCATTCGATATTTGCTAAAAGCTTTTTTGCACTGCATGTAATTTCTTGTTAAGCGCACCGTTTCATAGTAGAGTTTGAAGAAAATGAAAAAAACTATTTACATGTATCCAAATTTTGTTTGAGACTTCCTGAAATCATTGTACTATAATCAACTCTCCGCATTGCTGCTTTCGCTATTACTTAGTTTCCACTAGTTGTTTTTGTTGTAAGGTTTTTCTTTGGCTGTAACCAAATCGCTTTGCTTTCTTATAAATTTGTGCGTTTATTTATGCGCTCAACTGTAGCTCATAGAATATTTTCCCAACATCTAAATAATCTACATACAAATATGTGCTGCTTTTCCTTTGCATGCCAACACTCGCTTCGACTGCACCACCCCCGCCCCGACTCACACATAAACAACGTCTGTGTCTAGACTAAATTTGGCGCACGTTGTAAAGCTTGGAATTTGGCGCCCTACAATCCAGAGTTGCCGCCATGCATACGTTTGCGTTTGGAGGAGACACTCAACCCACCACAGGGTGATGTAAACATCACCGATAAGAAAATTATACAGAGGTGTGTATGAATGTTCATTTTTGCTTTTGTATTTGGTATGTAATTTTTCTGTTAATCTCTCTCTCTTTGTTCCCTAACAGTTGGATACAGCATCATGCGGAAGTGCGCGTAAAGGATGTTAATTTAGATTTATCCATGAGCACAGTTATAGGTTTGGGAGATTTAGCAGAAGATGAAATAATCACCACTCCTTTGCCGGTGACTGTAAGTTCAATAAATTTCACACACAATTGTTTTGTTGTTGTACGACTTATTTTTCTGCACAGGTGCACGTGGAAAATGTGAGAATCAACTTAATAGAAGATCGTCCGCCCGTTAATATTACCTCACCGGGTCCAGTGCCAATACGCTTGGCCATAGGTCGTATGCGTATACATCGTGATAAGAATGGCATTGTGAACGTACAACCTATAGGTAAGTAGTAAATTTTGTTTACTGCTTGGCTTTGGAAAATTAAGTAAAATATGGGTAGAACAATATCAAGCTTATCAGTATTTGAAAGAATCGATGTCTGTATATTTTTAGAGCAACATAAGCCAAATTAACAATCTTTTGGAATTTTTCTTTTTCTCTCTGTATGTTTGTATGCGCATCACTCGAAAACTAATGCATGGAATCGAATGCGGTTTTCCCTGATGCATTGCTAAAGGTCTAAGTTAAAATATAAGAAAAAAATAATTAGAGAATTGCCGCCTATTTGAAAATTGAGTTTAAGCAATTTGATAAGATAAAGTAAAATTGCAACATTGCTGTCAAAAGAAAAAGGTTTAAGAAGGCTTAGAGCCAAAAATATTTTTTTGGTTGAAGATTGCCACCTGTTTGAAAATTTAATTGATAGAATAAATTAAATATTGCAATTTTGGTATCAAACTTGAAAGGTTTAGGAAAATTTACCACCAAATTTATTTGCGAGGAGGGCTGCCACCTTTTTGAAATAGTGTTCAATTAAACTGTTAAAGTAAATGAAATACTACAATACGAGTATCAAACTAAAAGAGGTTTAGGAAAGTTTGCTGTCGAAAATATTTTTGAAGCGGGTTGTCACCTATTTGAAAAATTTAATTCAGTCGAATTGATAAGAAAGTACACGATATGTAGGCTCGAGTTATAAAATTATAAATATAATTTCCAGAAGAAAGTCGATACTTCACCTACTTTCTAAATACATTCGAAAATATATTAACTAACACCCACAATCATAAAAAATACAGGATGCTTCAAAAATCGATTTTTTTTTTTTGAAAATCTCACTTTATAAAGCTCTTTAAACCTATTTTATTTCTTTGAATGAGGCCATTCGAGTTTTGGAAAAGAGTAACAACACAATAATACTTTCAAGGCGCAGTGAAGCACGTCGGGTATTTGCTAGTCGTTCAATAAAACTGAAACTAACCTAAAAGTGTCATTATTTTCAAATCTAAAGTAAACGTTGAAAGTGGGACAGGGAGGCTATCCCGATAGTACAGATTTTCGAATATCTCATTTAAAAATCCGAATGTCCGGATCTTCGCGTATAACATGAATTAGCCGGATATCCGAGTTTTCGAATCTAAAAATAACAAAGTAATTCTTTGTGTAATGAGGTGTTCCATAATATTTTTTTTTTGCAACTCGATGTGAGGCCATGAGAGCCAGAGGAGCATGAGAAAGAAGTATCTATAATTAATGAATGCGGCCGCTGTGGTGTAATGGCTAAGGCAGTATCTCACGATTGGTACGTTTGTACAGATTTGTACATATTTTATATTTTGGGTTATTGGTACAAAATGAAAAAATGGGGATGACAATTTTTTTTTTTGTAGTCACACGATTGGTACAATACAGCGAACTTCTATTGAAAATTTTGAACAAATTGTTCTTTGTGATTGGGACCACATTTTGAAAGAAAAAGAAAGAAAAGAAACAGTTTTTTCTAATAGCTTTCGCCCCTCGGCAGGCAATGGCAGACCTCCGAGTGTATTTCTGCCATGAAAAACAGCTTCTCATAAATATACAATCGCCGTTCGAAGTCGGCGTTAAATTGTAGGTGACTACATCAAGGCTAACATCACAAATCGGAGGAGAAGCTGTTATTATTACTAGCCAATGCCCGCTTGCTTCGCGGCGCCTAATAAGAACTTTTGCGTTGGACAATGCAAAAGAGCGTTTAAATGCAAAAACGGTCCGTAAAGTAAACATTTTTTAGTTTAAGTGGAGACGTCTAAAGAGCAGTATCCTCCTCACACATAGGCCAGGAATAGTAACACTGTGATACCATATGGAATACTAATCCCTTTCGATGTCATGAGCTTTACCGATGGTCTTATTTCCACCTGTGAGATCTGTGCCAAGCATGCGTAATCTTTTTGTCGAATCTTTCCTTGTTAATTCGCCACTTTTAAAATTCGTGTTAATATTTATGAACTCGTTTCTAGGTAGATAGGGCAAGATCGCATTTAGGCGGTATAAGGGCGTCAGACAAAGGTGCGCTTACTCAATTTTGCGGTCTTTCTATGCATACTTAACCCCATCCTTCATTTGGCCATCTGAAAACTTAATTCGCATAACTTAAACATAGGACCAAATCAGACCAAAAACACGAGATTTCTATATATTTCGGCTGCAGCGCAATCCATTAGGCCCATTTTCTGCAAAACCATTGCTTATCATAAATTGAATACGCATTATGAATTTCAACCATATTGTATAAGAAATGCGAATTTTCCAAATACCTAGACTCCAGCGCCACCCAGCGGGTCCATTTTTATCAAAAGAATTTTTCATCATACAGGTACAGTCACTTTTCGCCATAAGTACTGTTTTGATAATAATGTAGCTGTGTCAAATTTCAGGACGTTAGAATAATCGGTTCCTGAGATAAGCGATATGAGAAGTTCAGTTTGTATCGGAGGTGCCACGCCCCCTTTTCCAATGCCTACCAGTTTTCGCCATAAGTAGGGTATTTGCAATTTATGCATCCGTGCTAAGTTGTAGTTCCTCAGCGTAATTGGTTTTAGAGATATATTGGTTTTTAGGTTTTAGTCTGTATACGACTTTTAGGAATATCCCAACCCCAGCGCCACCTAGCGATTAAATTTTTAGTCGAAATATTTACTTTCATAAAATCGGTCCAGTCGTATGTAGATCATTAATTTTTGGAACAATTTTACGAATCTGTTCAAACCTTCAGCGACTCTCGCCCCATGCATGCGGTTCTTGGAACCCAATCAGCACCAAGCGCAGATAATGAGCTTCAGTTGCAATGAGACACCTGCGTTACTCTGATCCAGTTAAGGTATGCATACACTCGACCCTCACTTACCTAATACATGTCCGGCTTGTGGAGACCCCCCACACGATACCAACTGCCCTCTTAACGTGCCCACACGACCTAAATAAACTAACACTGCTTCCTTTTTCTGGTCCAACCACGTCGAAATAGCACGTTTTCTGGGACTATCCTTAGTTGAGCTTGACGACAGTGATTTATGGATTAGCTGATCTAGGCAGGGCTTAGTATGCAGTGCAATAACAACATGATATCCTTTAGTGGATAGCAAAGTTTTTTTTTTTAAGCATTTAAAGGATATTTTCAAAAAAGAGCACTTTCAATTGCAAAATATAATTGAGAAGTTCGCGAATCCAGAACTTTGTAGTCGATCTGTTGAAGCAGACTCATAGCATGAAACGAAGTTTCGCCGATGTCTTTAAGTATAAAAGCCCGATTCTTGGAAAACATTTTGAATTTGGTGATCCAACAAAAAATTTTTTAAAAACCTAATTCTATTTTGATAATTTTTGGTATCTCTTTTTCTTTGCAGAAACTGGTTTAAATGACGCTGCCTCTTCAAACTATCCTCTAACAGCTGCCACTCCGACACCACGCGATCGCGATCGTGATCGTGAAATACTTGCAATGCAGTTGGTTATGCAACAATTGAAAATGGACAATGACAATTTGCGTAAGCAGTTGGTAAATGCGAAAGAAAATGCCGATTGCTATAGGTAAATGTAACTGTAACTATTTCTTGTTTGTACAAATGAGCATTTCTGGACTAGTTCAGGGATGTTTCAAGACCATTTCGGGCTTAGTTCACGATTAGTTTAGGACCATTACGGGAATAGAACCGTTTCAGGACCTATTTAGAACAATACCGGGATTAGTTCGCGACCATTTGAGGACCATTTTGGGACTAGCTCTGAACCATTTCGGGTCTAGTAAAGGACTATTTAAGGTTAATTCTCGGCCTAGTTCGCGATGATTTTGGGACTAGTTCAGTAGCATTATTTTAGGCATTGTTCGGGATGATTTTGCAACTCTAATAAGCGACCATTTCGAGACTGTTTCAAGTCCTGTTTGATAACGTTTGTGTACTTGCTTACAACATTTTCGACCGTTTCGGGACTTTTTCAGGAACATCTAGGAACTACTTCAGGACACTTTTCGGACTAGTTGGGGATCTTTTGGGGGGGTAGTTCGAAACCAGTCACAAAATAATCCTGAACTATTCCCAAAGTATTTATAAAAAAGTCGTGTACTGGGCCTGACAAAATGAATATAATGAATAATAATATTTAATTTTTAACCTAGCCTATTGCCTAATGGTTGACCAACCGTACACATATGAAATTTCATGAGTACCTGGGACTCACTCCTTTTTTAGATAAATATGTTATTAGAAAGCACACTTTCGTAAAAATAGTACATACATATTAAATTAGTGCGCCAATTGATTTAAATATTTTATATTTCTAGAAAAGCGTGATATGCTTAACAATTTATTTTTTTCTTTATTTTTTCGGTGCAGACAAAAGACCAAACAAGATAATGATGTACTACGTTCATATCTAAAAGCGGCACAAGACGACATAACTATACTTTTGGAAGAGAAAAAGGCTTTGCTGGATACGATACGTTCACTGCAGGTAAGTCTTGATTTGCACAATTTTTGCATTAATACAATACATTTTTTAAGAGTTTTGAAGTTCACTTTAATGTGTTTTGATAAAAATGATAAAAAAAAAATGCACACCAAATCTACTCGAACGCGCACAAAACAAACCACAACACCCACCAAAACACTTTTGCTCGAGTTTGTATGGGTAAACGCCATTCGTATCAGCATAACGGTGTTTTTTTTGCATTTTGCATTTTGCTGTGCTTAATTGAATTTTGAAAGCTCAACAGCTGCTGCTGATATTATTTATATTCAACTAGATATATATTCTTAAACGATTGTTTTTGAAAATTATACGACTGGTTCTCTTTTATAAGCTAAGAAATTTTCTTTTTTTACTACTACTTTCTACTACTCTTCACCACCACCTAATCTCGCTGTTTTCTATTTACTATGTGTTTTTGGTGAACAAAAAATTATAAACCTGAAAATTTGGCGTTAAAAACAGTCGAATCTGAATTCAATCAACATTTCTGATGCAAGGATCAAAGGTCAGTTTTGGCTAAAAGAAAAAAAAAAAATAGAAGAGACGCGCTTGCAGTTTGCTTTTCATTTGTAGTTTTTAGAATTCAATTCGATATTGAATTTAATAAATTATTCTTAGGCGTTGAGCACTAGCTTTTATAAAAAAGATAATAAAATAAATTAAAATTTGAATGCAGCATGTAAGCGAATTTGCTAATTCAAATGCACACCAGTAATTGGCTAATGTAAAATTAAAAGATTGGATTGTAAAATGCACAAATTTTCAATGAGAGATTAGTAAAAGCACTAATAATAATAATATTCTCCCTTCAATTATTTATTTATTAATTTATTTTCAAATATTACCTGATGCAGTGATCTAAAGTCGTATCAACTTTCATTTGGCGCTGAGCTGTTTTTTTTTTAATTTTTCTTGATTGCACTCTCGACCAACGAATGAACTACTAAGAAAAGTAAAAGCTCACACTTGCTGAACTGCAACAATTTTCATCCTTTCTATTAAAGTAACTCCGAGACATAATTGGCCATCATGACTGCCTTTTGTGATTTCTGTTGACTGCATAGAGGTATTGGCATACAAAAAGAGATCCACTTAGATACGGTTATGCTGCCCTTAAGAGGGGAAAGGGAAACGGGCGCAGGGGTAGATAAAAAGGGGTAAAGTAATGGAGAATGACGCCTGCGGCCCACGCGTAGTCAGAAAAATTTTGCCACCTTTCATTCCAAGGTCTTCGCTCAGCGCTCGCTGAGCTGACTAAACGCCCATATGTCGAGAAGTAGACCGCAGGAGGTTAGGGGAGCTCCCAGACCTCTATCCTGCCAGCTTATCGACCATGCAGTTTCCAGGGAGTTCGCTGTCACCTGGAACCCAAATAAGCCTAACAGTGAAGTTCTTTCACTGTTCTCGAACCTTGATAGCTGCTTGGCTGTCAGAATAAATATTCACCTCCTTAAAGGTTTTACACTAGAAAGCAACCAATTCGAAGCCTCTTTAATTGCGGTCGCCTTTGCTTGTAAGACGCTGCTCCGATAACCTAAATTTCAGGCTGAGCGAGAGTTCTTAGCATAAGACACCTCCACTTACCTTCCCATTCAGACTCGATCCATCTGTAAATAAGTTTACATGACCACGATTCCAGATACTGCACCCCTCCCAGTGCTCTCTCGCTGGAATGTGGATGGTGAAAGATCCATTCTGACCCAGAATTGGCGTGCAGTGGTCTGTCCGAGTCGGTACGAATCTGAAGCCTTTTTAAAATACTGGAGTGCCCATAGCTAGAGACGGATTCCAATTAAGGCGGTTCTTTGTACCCTATCCAGCTGCTTCACGATGAAGGCCTTGTCCAGTGTGTTCCACCATACGAGTACCCCATATAAAAAAATTTGCTTGATTATAGTTTCATAAAACCAATGAACAACCTTCTGCGAAAGACCGCAGCGCTTACCAATGGCCCCTTCATACCAATACAAGGCTGCTGTAGTCATCTTGACTCTTGACGACAGCGACCCAAAGCAGCGGTGAAAGAACTCCCCTTGTGGGATACCTCTACTCACACATCTGCGGATTGAAGCGCTGCCCTACTCTGCCGCAACAGTTCTGTTGCCAAGCAAGCGGTAAATAAACCTGAGAAAGTCAGCTCCGACCTCAAGCTTATTTAGGGAGCTAACTATAGCTTCAGGCAAAACATTAGTAAACCACCTCGATATCAAGGAAGGCACCCACCGCGAATTCCTTCTGCAAAAAGGTCTGCTCAATACCCTCAACGACCGTGTGGGATTTCCGAAACGTTCGTTTCGGGTCTCGTAGCCTCTAAAGGGATTCTTTCCGGATCCGGGTTGTACGGAAAGTGAGCATCGAGGAGCATTCAAAGAGACTCCTCGCTGCAAGTGTCTTATTAACTAAAAAAATAGCCTTATTGCATGTTTAGCTAGAAGAAAATGTCCGAAAAAAATTGTAGAGACGGACATGTGGAAAATGTCATCTTCACGGTTCACTCTGTGCTGCGAATCTTGTAGGATTGAGGAGACGTTTCACTCCCACTGGGGTCCTTGTGGAGACAGCTTTGAATGCATATGGCTCCGGTCAATGCCTTAGGGTCGTTCTGCCGTAGCACGGCAATGCTAAATAGAGGCGAAAGGGAGTTGTTCTTAGTGCGTCTAACTGCTCTCTTTTATGGTCCATGCCAGACACACAGGTGCACTTAATTCTTTTGGTGCTTGGAGAGGCGAAAAATGTTTGTCAGTCAATCAATCTTGTTCAAGTATGAACTAAATAATTTTATATTTAAAATAAATTCGATGAAAATTTACATACATTTTCCCGTGGAATGCTCGATATACTCTACAGATTTGGTGTTTAATAGTACTGTTATGCCTCTGATGGTTTCAGAAATCCTTCTATTTGCAGTTACCAATTTTAATCCAAATTCGAATTCAATGCAGCTATCAGTGTCCGCGAAAGCGATTTACGGACCACTGCACAACCGATGGTACTCATAATTTATTCTCCCTAAAATGAATTTTTCTTACTTTCCTACTCTCAAACTATCGCTTCGGTTACTTCGCCATACCTTATTTATTTTGTTCCAGCTTTCAACGCTTATATTTTGTGAAATATTATTTTCTTTTCACCTTTTTAACTATTTCAATTATTTTAAGTTTAAAGTACGCTTAAAAATAAATATTTAGCTACCCACCTAGTTATGTACATATATAAAAAAAATGCTGAAAATCACGCCCATTTGTGTAATACATAATTGTTTTTTTTTTGTTTAATCTTCTTATCACCTACACATATGTATGTATCTCGCTGCCTTCTTCAAATTCCCAAATTCAGCTTCAACTGACATCATCGAATATAAATAGAAAAGGCGATGGCAACAGGTAGCACAACTGCATGGATTGCATACAGTGCTGTGGCGAGAATAACAATCCATGAAATACAATAACAACAACACTACCAACAGGAACAAATAGTGCTACAAATACAACAACAACAACTGAATCAGCGACACGCATGCAGCAGAGAAGGCGAAGTAATGTATTCTTTGCCTTGTCTATTTTCAAATCATGCCAAAATACGCAACAACCGCCGTAGTAGCAATGAGATCAAATAAGTAGTAGTCAGAAGACACGTTAGTGCTATATCTATTTACCATAAAACAAATTAATTTCTTTACGGTTTTTGGTTGCTTGTTTCTTCTTCATATTAAAAATATTGAATTATCTTTTTATTTTTTGTTTGATGTTTAATTAACATTTTATTAGCTTATAAAAAGACTGATATTGTCCAACAGTAAAAATGAAGAAAATTACTATACTTATTTAAATTGCAGTAAAAAATGCAATAAAAATTGTGTTTGCTCGACGAATATGTTGCCAGCATAAAGACTACCATGCAAACCAGCTTGTTTTTGTTTAAAGAAATCCCAGTTTTATTTAAATTGCCAGGTTATATAGGTGCATACAATTGAATAGTGCTAAATATGCTTAACTAGGATGGCGTCATTGGCAAGTTTTAAGTTTAGTTAATACATTCAAAAATTTTATTTTAAAAAAGAATGTCATGCAAGTTCTATCATTCACTTCTGGGTGAATTTCAACCGCCCCATTAAATTTGAATTCGAAGTGGCTTTGGTTGAAATTCACTTGGAAGCATTTTCACCAGGGCTGTGCGATTATTCGATTACTCGAGCAAGTTGGTTAATCAATTGTTCGGTTAATCAATTACTCGAGTAATCGAGATTTTGATTACTCAAAACGATGATTAATCGAGTTACTTGAAATATGATTACTCAAAAAAAATAATTTTGCTCGTTAAAAGAGTTTGCTTTGGAAAATGCTTATTTTCTTTTTTACATTCTGTATATGAAAAAAATTTTCGTTTTAATTTTTGAAAACAGAAACGTTGTTTTCAAAGTGTCAAGGAACTTTAACTCCTTTATACATATGTAAAGAGTTGAAATGTTGATTACTCATTTTACTCGAAATGTTGATTAATCATAAAACAAATTACTCAAATATTTTTGTTTTTGGTTAATCAAAAATCTTGATTACTCGAGTAACTGAACTTTTGAGTAATCATAACTACTAATTAATCGAATAACTGAGTTATTTACTTTATGATTAATTAAAATTTTGAGTAATCAATTAATCGCACAGCCCTAATTTTCACATTTAATGGAAAACTAAATTTTAAAACCTACTTGATAAAACGGCCCTTAGTCTCTTCGCTTATCCCCATCGTTATCACCAAAAAAAGTTTCATTCAATTAGAAAAGAGTTTCATATGCATTCAAAATATTTCCATTCAATTTGAAAAAAAAATTTAATTTGATTTGAAAATAATTTCATTCAAATCGGAAATATTTTCATTGAAAAAGATTTCATTTAATTTGTAAAAAGTTTCATTTAATGTGAAAATGCGATTATCAGATTATTATTTTATTTACGAAATAACTTATGTAATGCTTGGCAACCTAGGGTATTTTCTAAATAAATCTATTTCGATTTGAACTTTTTTGTATACCCATATTTTGTAAAATAAAATTGTCTCCTGTAAAAAGTAGGGTAGAAGTAGAGAAGAACAAAACTAAATTTCGTTCGCGTATTTTTGCTCCCAAGAACGCTTAAAACCGCGAAATCAAATGATACCAAAACCTTCGGGAGTGTTTTCACAAAAACGAAAGAGAGAAAAAACTGTCGAGGACGTTCTCAACGGGAATTGTTTAAGAACAAAACTCTGGGTCACGTTCCCAAAGCGAACAAAATGCCAACAATACTTTTGGGGAACATTTTTAAGAGAACAAAATGGTAACAGAAGTCTCACTGGAAAGGCAAAGAACAAAAGTGGAAATCTCGAAAAATAATTTGGGAACTAAAACCTCAGGAACATTCTGACAGAGAACGAAACGAGAACACAATTTTTCTCATAGCGCTGCATTAGTTTAAAATGTTTGAATATTAAAATTAACCAAAAAAGAACTGAAGGATAATTTTCAAATTAAGTGAACGAAAGACTTTAGACACGAACTTTTTTTTTTTTTTTTTTTTTTTGTTTTTTTGTTTTTTTATTTATTTTTTTAAATTTTTTTTTTGCTTACTTTTTGCTTTTTTACTAGCGTTTGCTTGTACTTAATATGAGCAATTACCCCCTTCGATTGGTAACCTTTTTTTTTCCAATTTACATAAACCGCATAAGCCTTCGTGAAAATGAAATATTAAGCGAATTTTCTTTTAAATATTTTTATTTATTTTTGTCTAATCGTGTAATTTAACAGCTGCTTAGGCTTTTGTTATGAAGCTGTTGGTATAAATAGCAAGTTGCTAGCAAAAAAAAAACAATTTCGAAATCGAGATTGTTAATTCCTATGAAATTGCCTGTTTTGAACTATAAACACTTTAATTTACACAACAATATAAATAACTTTTAATTTGATTGTTTCTATTAACGAAAAATTTTTCTTGGAAGATTTTTATTTTTACAGCATTGCATTATAATATATTATATTATATTTGGACTATTTTCGATAAATTGAATATTTATTTTGTGATTTTTATTTTAAGATCAAAAATAATTCTTATCTTGGATTTTTATTTTCTTTGCTAAACTAAAATGTCAAGCTACATATAAAATTAGTTAAGCCTTTAAAAATTGGTTATAAACCCAAAGATTCATTGCTTGCATAAGTCGTTCTTTCAAATATTCGCATGTCTTCTTCCGAATATTTTTTTTAGCTTCGAAGCAAATTTAATTTGAATTTTTATTCGTATGCAGGCTTTCTTGACACACTGTTTATGTTGTTACGTAGTATTATTATTTATTTCTTATTTTATTTTAATGCTTTGTTTAATTTCCCTACGCTAATTTCACTCGTTTGAAATTTAATTGCTTCATTTTTGAAACCCAATACCTTGTTCAGACATGCACTGTAATTGCGAAACTAAGCTCTTAATTGAGCTTAAATGTATATACAATATATTTTCACCAAATTACGAAATTAATAACACTAGTTTACAGCAAAAATTTTCCATCGATGCCACTATCCATTTCCTCCATATGTAGAATTGCTGTGGATAGGTTTTCGAAATATTTTCAATTTACCGTTAATCAACTAAAAAAAGGATGATGGTATCCGTGGAAAAAAAACACAAATTTGTGATCCAGTGTAATTAAATGCACATAAATTAAGCTTTAAGTTTTTGGTGTTTGCCCAAAATCGACAAACGGTTGTAATGCCAAATAGGAAGAAGCAGAAATTGCGTCAGATCCCCGAAACAACCCGTTTGAAGTCAGTTCAGTGAAAAGAGAACAGTATGTTCATTGAGAAAACGGAAATCTGACAGGTTCAGGTTTTCAGGCTTTTCCAGCAACAACACTTAAATAAAAGGTACAAGCGGCAAAAGCAATAGCACTGTGAGCGGATTTTGGTTGAAAACAAAATTCGTTCAAAAATATTATTTATGTGTGTTGCCGAATTCGCACTGGGCATTAAATGAGACTCTTTTAATGTCAACAAAAAATGTTCATTAAGTTCGTTTGCATATGGGAATTTTTAAATAGCGCCAAGCCATATCGAACAGGTAGTAGTAAATAGAGCAGCTGACCTAGTTTTTTTCTCAAATTGTTGGTGTTTAAATTGTCAAAAAATTAAATTATCCACAATATTTCTAAAAGCCAATTTCACGAAAGCAATTTAAGTGAAATATGATTTTAAATTTTTGAATTTTATATAAAAATTGACAGATAATAAAAAATCATTTCCATTCATTTAAATTGCTGGTGTAACCGGCTGTATGAAGCAAATTTTATTCACAAATTTCCACAAAAATTCTCAATTGTCGAAATAATCGGTTAATCGAATAATTAAAATGTATAAGTAAATATTGTTTTTGCCGCTTCGATACCCATTGGAAGTTTGACCTAATGCCGAAACAGACTTAACTTCCCTATTCTATACACTGGACAAATAGTCAAGCTTGACTAAAAAGCTATGTATGCCGCTAAAAATTTGACCATCCTGAAAAAGTTTTTGTTTTACAATTTAGTCATTAACGTAAAAAAATCGATTTGTAAAGCATAGATCTTATGTAGTAGTAGGGCTTACAGTTGGATGTTCCAATAAAATAATCGCAGACGGCTTTGCTCCCCCACTTGGTTTCTCTATTGATAAGTAGGCCTAGTAAAATGTGCATATGCAAAAGCTAAGCTTGCAAAAGATCGACCTTACAGTAGAAGATTACATAATATCGAGTAAAACTCCTTTTTGCAATAAAAATGCTTAAATATGAAGGCGCTACAATAAAGACCGTGGCCATCAAAGTGCTATTATTTTTTACCGACACTGTATGAAGCAATAAAATTTCATATTAGTCATATTAGTGGTATACAGTCAGTGTCAAATGTAAGTGTACACCATGTTCTAACCTAATATTATCAAAAAATCTAAAAAATCACCGGCTACAAAACTTCATACTCGAAAATTTTCTAGAAATTCAGAATAAAACCTTTGAAATTTTGATGAAAATTAAATAATTAATGAAACAAATTTTTCATGAAAATAATTGTGAATACTATATTAGAACAAGGTGTACACTTACATTTGACACAGACTGTATGTAATTTTATTTTTTTTTTGTTATTAAGCGTTTTTTGTGTATATTTAAAATTTATTTTTTATTCGTCTTTGATTTCAATTAATAAAATGTGTTTAGAGTTTATATGTATTAGTTAAATGTATCCATTCCTTATCCTTATATCACATATATGTATGTATTAATCTTTGTAAAATTTACATTTATTTAAATATATATATATTTAGTATCTATATTAAGGTTTAGTTCAAAAAGTTGTCCTACTTTTTTGAAGACTTTTATAACAAACTTAAGCTGCGAGAAAAAAATTCAACACTTAGGAGAAGCCAAACTAATTAGCGACTAATTAAAATTAATTATGGTGTTTAAATAAATTAAAAGCGCATATGTTGAACTAAATAGTACATTTTTAATGGAAAATTCTTAAATGCGCCAAAGCAAGTAAAATTTGAAAAGGGTTTAAAAATGCAAATTGCCTACTCATACATATACTACTTAAATGCATACAAATATGTATAACCAAATGTAAAAAAATACATAATTGAAGATGTACATTCATACATACATACAAGCATATGTGTACAAAATTTTAGTGTGTTTTAAAAACAAAATGAAAAATATTTACATATACTTATAAAAAATTGATTTGTAGTTAGGAAATTATATTAAATACATAAATAAAATGTAACTAAGCAGTGCAAATGACGTAACGATTTGCTAGTTTTAACTTTTATGATACATAATAAACAAAAGTTGTTTAATAAATTTTTAAAATAAATTATTAATGCAAAAGGATTGATCAAATCAAATTAAATTAAATTAAATCAAAACCTAAATCAACCTTCAACCTCATAAGTGTCGAAGCAGTGTCCTTGTTTGAATGTACTGTTTACATTTATAGTTAAAAATTAGCATTAAAATACCGATATAATAAAAATTCATGTGTAATTATAAAAAAAAAAAATAAAATAATACTAATTCAAAAGGCAAATAAACTAATAAACAACAAATAAAATTATCTAAAAGGTTATAAGATATTGGAATTGACGCAGAAAATCATATAAAATTCTTTAATGTGTAAAACAAAAAAAAACATATACATATATTTTAATTGCATGCATGCGTGTGTACATACATACATACAAAAAAAAATGAATGAACAGAAAAAATGCATTGCAAAGTTAAACAAAAGTTACGCGTACTCAAACGACAGCATACATAAACGCATAAAGTTTCCTTAAACAATTTTTTAAACAAAATAAAAATTTAATAATATGTATGGATTATTGATTTAAATGCTGATTTCTTATGTTATTGTGTGCGTACTATCCCTGCTGGGAAACCCCGAACCTTTAGTGAACCAAATTTTTTCTTCCGTACTAGATTTTTATCGCCAAAAACGAATCAGGCCGATAGTAACTAAATCACCACCAGTTCAAAAGTTCAGCGAAATGTGGTACTAAATATTTTATTTTACTTTATAAAACTAAATATCGCTAGCTAAGTGAAAAGTTGCTGCTAAGTCCTTTTTTCTAAAAAAAATTATTTTAATGCAAGAAGCAAGAACAATTAGAAATGAGCCGTTTTCCAAAAGATCGAATTGCCTATTTTATTTCTAACCGTTTTCTGTTCAGTGATACGTAAATTTGTTAAGTCCACAATAGTCACAGAAAATGTGTTAAGCCCCGCAGAATACAAAAACTTTTCACTAAACGTCTATATCTAAGGTGAAGAATTTAGAACTGATTGGGAACTATAGAAAAAAGGATGCAGGGCAAACGAGAATTTAGGACTGGTTCAAAACTATCGAAAAAGGTTGCTAACATGCAAAAGAGAATTAACGCGCATGGTTCTAAATTCCTTAGTACCGACCCGATTCGGCACTAGTGCGTTTTCCCACAGGAATACTACCTACATATGTACATACATAAATACTAATATATGAAATAAAATTATATTATTGTTGTTCCACTATAAGGAAAATAAAATGTGTATATTTGAATTTATAAAATTAAAATTATTATACTATTAGCCTAAATAAAATTATTACCATGCAATTAAAATGCAAGTGAGTTTCAATTAATAAAATTAGTACCCGGTTGCACCAATCAATTTGAAATTTATCGGCATGCTAACAATTTCGTTCGGAAAATTTGTCATTTTAACAGTCCGATAAGTTTTAAAATTGATTGGTGAAACCGGGCATAAAAATATTTATTTATTTTATTTAAAAAGAGGCTTACATAAAAATAACAGCGCTACCAGCAGAGGCTTTCGGCTGACAGGTGAATGGGGGCTAGATTAGATACGACGAAGTAGACCAGAGTCTTTAAAAAAAAATTGTAATTTATATACAGTCAGTGTCAAATGTAACTGTATACCTTGCTCTAATATAACATTCAAAATTATTTTCATGATTTTTTTTTTCATTAATTATTTATGAAAATATAGTTCATTCTATAACATAAAACATAT